CATGGGCGTTTTGCTGCCTTTGTTTGGAACCCGGTGCACCGCTTCGACGCTATCAACTTTTAATCTAGGCACCTCTATTTTGTCAGCAATTTGATTCAGCTTTTCGAGCAAGTTTTCATCCTGGGTTTGCACTAACCCATGTACTTCTAGATTGTTCATTCTTCCGTACTGCTCCAGCCTGTTTAAATCTTTCCTTAGTTGTGACGTTTCGTCAGTTGCCTTCTCCTTTTCGAGCACGGTGATTCTTTTCTTCAGCTCTTTAACTTCGGTGTCTTGTTCCGTCATTTTCTTTAACACCTCGTCGTACTTGTCCGACATAGTCTGCATTGATTTTTCAATGTCTAGCACTGTTTGTTTTACAGTCATCAACTCATCTACTTGTTGTTTCAGCGGCGTGAGTACTGCCAACATCCTTGTCATTTCTGTCAGTTGTTTTTGTATGTTTGTGGTATCATCCGTATTGCTCCTAGTTCTCACTTTCGCTCCCCGACAAGTTTGACATTTCCAGGTTTCTTTGCATCCCGTTTTTTTTCCGCGAAAGGTGCTTTCGCTAGTACCCGAGCAAGCGCCAAGGTGATAACAAAAGTGACACTCGCAACATTTTAACACACTCTCTTTCTCGTTATCTTCAATACTTTTTTTACAGCTTAAACACCTTTCATCAAGATCGTTTGCTCTAGCCATATTCGTGAACACTCGCAACGGCCAGTCAGTCAGTCAGCGACAGGGATTAGCTCTGAATTTAGTAGGAAATGAAAATCCTCCCACCTGCGGATGCAAGTTCTTTTAGTTTTCGCTCTCGAGCCCTGTCGCTGACTGGCAGCTGTCGTCGGGCGCTCCTCTTTATGATGTCCTGGTGTCGCTCTAGTCGCTGCTCTGGTGGCGGTTGTCCTGGACGGTCCGATGTGGCAGCGTTCCTCCGGTGACTTCGCTGTTGGTGGATCCGCCCCTTCAGCTTCGGCTCCTTCCTTTGTTGTTATCTGCGGATGCAAGTTCTTTTAGTTTTCGCTCTCGAGCCCTGTCGCTGACTGGCAGCTGTCGTCGGGCGCTCCTCTTTATGATGTCCTGGTGTCGCTCTAGTCGCTGCTCTGGTGGCGGTTGTCCTGGACGGTCCGATGTGGCAGCGTTCCTCCGGTGACTTCGCTGTTGGTGGATCCGCCCCTTCAGCTTCGGCTCTTTCCTTTGTTGTTATCTGCGGATGCAAGTTCTTTTAGTTTTCGCTCTCGAGCCCTGTCGCTGACTCCTACTAAGGTATGGCAGTCAGAATGGGATAGGGAAATTGCCGATAAACTACACTTTATCAAACCTTGATTGGAGGTGTGGGAGATCTCCCATCACAAGAATCGTTTCCATGAAGTTTTGATGTCCCGATTGAGGATTGGCCACTCGCGCTTGACACATCTGCATTTGCTTTGTGGTGAAGATGCTCCACAGTGTGAGCACTGCGGCAAAGTAGTGACTGTATTACATATCTTGTGGAATTGCAGGCACCTACATGAAAAGCGACGGGCATGTTTTCCAGAACTTTTTCGATGTCATCTCCCGTTTCACCCAGTCTTCCTTCTTGGCGATAAACCTCTAGTCCCTTTTCGACGGGTTTTAGAATTTCTTGAAGTAACTGGCTACATACACCGGTTGTAACTTTTATTCATAAAATATATCACTCCCATTGTAGATATCTTAAAATGTTGTAGATTATGGTCAGTGTGTAATCTTAAAATTCTTAGACATAGCAATTTTTTACACCCAGAACTCATGTTTATGTAATACACGATTCATGTTCATAGTCTTATAAAATCATCAGCTTCTATAGCTCTGTTTCTTCAACCCTTGTTTCTGCAATAGTTTATGCACTTGGCGCATTTTGGCCCTGGTAGCTCTCGCGGCATAAAACTCAAATCAATCAATCAATCAATTTTATGTTTTTCGAATCTATTAGCTATTTTTATCTATTCCAGTGTATTTTTTTGTTGCTTCTAAGTGTTTCTGTTCTCTTCTGCGTGCAATATTTCTTTTGTATATATAGTACTTGTGTCCTTATTTCGCCTTTTTCGACGGGAGTGCCGACGGACAACACGCCGCTTCGCGCGTCGTTTCCCGTGTGAGTATTACCGTTGCTACCGATTCTTATCGTGCTGTTAGCTGTTCATTTTGGTTTATAGGATTCGCGTGCAGTCGAGAGGAGTCGTTTATGAACACCCGCGCACATGTCATAGGGGTAGGCAGAGCTCTGAATCAACAATCGCGACGCGAGAGCCCAGTGCGCTCTGATTGTGCCGCTTGCGCTCACCCCATTGACTGCGCTGTGGCGTGTGCCTCCGAGTGCTGCTTACTTGACCAAGGTACAGCACGCCGCTTTGTCGCCGCGACCCATTTGTTCGAATGTTTCCGAAGCTGAGGCATATGCAACGCTGCGCCGCCTGACAACTGCGCGCTGCGGCACGATCCCTTCACAAACGCCGACGGCTCAATGTCGCGGCTTGAAAGCGCCTATGGCATGCCTTCGTAATCTATCTGCTAAGCGGTTGTCAGTTGCCAACGCCCTTTTTTCAAGTGAAGATGTGTGTTGCCGGAAATCATTTGTCCGAATGCCTGCAAAACCGTAACACCGTTCGGCATATCCAACGCTGCGGTGACTGACAAACTGTGCGCAGCGGCGTAAGCCCTTCGCAAGCGCCAGTGGTCCAACGTCGCGGCTTGTATGCGCTTATGGTATGCCTTCTTAATCCATCTGCTAAGAGGTTGTCAGTTGCAAACACCCTTTTTAAGTGCAGATATATCCTGTCACCCAGGCAGTCACCTTGAAACTCGTAGATCCTTCGATAATTTTATTTCTCGAGTCAAGATGCCAGCTGATGCTCGAGTTAAGATGCCAGCAACTGACAACCGCCGAGGAGACTGATCATGAATGCATGCCAAAAGCGCATACAAGCCGCAACGTTGAACAGCCGGCGCTTGCTAGGGGCTCGCGCCGCGGCGTGCAGTTGTCAGGCGCCGCAGCGTTGGATATGCCGAACGGTGTTACGGTTTCGCAGGCATTGGGACAAATGATTTGCGACGGCAAAGCAGCGTGCTGTGTCTTAGTCAAGTTAAGCGGCACTCGAAAGCATACGGACCGAGCGCGGGCGGCCAAATCACAGCGCACTCGGCTCTTGCGTCGTGATTGTTGATTCAGAGCTCTGCCTACCCCTATGACATGTGCGCGGGTATTCATAAACTGCTCCTCTGGACTGCAGGCGGGTCAAATAAACCAAAATGAACAGCTAACAGCGTGATAGGAATCGGTAGCAAAGGTAGTACTCACCCGGTGTACGATGCGCAAAGCGGCGTGTTTTCCGTCGGCCCTCCCATCGGAAAAGGCGAAATAAAGACACAAATACTAGATATATGCAAGAAATATTGCACGCAGAAGAGAGTATGAACACTTGAAGCAATACAAAATACAGTGGTATCTGGTCCACTTTAGCCAATCTGCTCCTAATATTGTCTATGGCATTATGTAGAACCTTCAGTGATGGCCCAGCTTCTCCACTGACCAACCGATATTAGAAGCACATTGGTATAAAATAGGCCATCTTGGCCTGTCAGTTCCATTCGCTTCCGAATATTAGATGAACACTGGCAAAACATGGGCAATGTTGGCATAACAGTTCCATTGGCTTGCGAACATTGGATTCACACTGGCATAAAATGGCCAATGTTGGCCTGTCAGTTCCATTGGCTAGCAAATATTGGATGAACACTGGTATAAAATGGGCAATCCTGGCCGGTCAGTTCCATTGGCTTGCCAATTTTTGATGAATACTGAAACAAACCGGACAATGTTTGATTTTGAGTTTCCTTGGCTTGCTAACATTGGATGAACACTGGAATAAAATGGTGAACCGTTGGCCTGTCCGTGCCATTGGTATTCCAGTATTTGATGGGGACTATCATGAAATGGACACTGTTGGCATGTGTTTAGTATTGGCTTGCCAATGTTGGATAAACACGAGCTTATACTGGTTACTTTTGTTCTGTAAGTACCATTGGCTCATCGTCATTTCAAGAACGCAGGGGTATATAATGGTCAGTGTGTGTTAGTCTGACAATACCATAGGCTTAATAGTGGAAACATGTTGGAATAGGCTGGTTTGGGGGCTTTCGTTTTGCCACAAGTTGAAATTGCTGGAGCGCTTGTCAATTTTATTTAATTTTATTTAATTTTTGTTAATTATTTAAGTGTAGCCTTGAGCAGGCTACCTCTGTTGATTTCGATACAGAGTTGACATTTAGAAGGTGGTCAGATTTAAGGTGGCAAATATTTTGGCTGACTTATTTTGGGTTGGCATGTCATTGAGATCATTGCTAATTGTTCTCAGTTGCACCTTAATAACTACATTATTTAAACAAATTAACATGTGATTGCAATGTGTTTTTTTCTATATAGGGCAACAGTCAAACCCGAATAATTTAAACTATACCTTGTATTGAACTATTTGTAAACATACGAGTAGCTTTAATAAAAATGCATAGCGGAAAATGGGGTTACATTCAACGAAAACTCCAGTATCTCCCAATAGATCAAACTGCCAAGAGCGCCGTTTTGCTCTGCTAGCTGCCTTTCCCCCAACGCGGCATCACGTTGAGGGGAAGCAAGCTAGCAGAGAAAGCTGGCTTTTTTTTTTCTTTGGGCAACCGCGTAAACCGCGCAGAAGAAAAAAATGTACTCTCCTTTGCGTAGGAAGAGGGGAGAGGGTGAGCCGGTGGGACCTTGAAAAACAAAGAAGCGGCCACTGAATAGCCGCGCAGAACGTCCCTCATGACGTACAAACGCTACTTCAAGAGTAAACAACTTTTCTAAATGTGGCGTGCTTGTTTGATGTAAAATTCATTAAACATTTCTTATAAAAATGCCCGCTATATCAAACTGGTAGACGGTTTTTCGCGAGTTAAATATAAAAAAGGTTTGACTTATCAGTGGTGCATATGAATAATTTCCACATTCTTTTCATTTTCAGATGCCTTCGACATGTACATCGGGCAAGCACCCTTTGATATGTCGCCTAGGCAACGAAGGAGTCTCATGATCAAGTACATTCCGGAGCATCTTCAAGATATCGACAGGAAGCTGCAGTTTTAGGCTACTTTTGGGACCTAACTCAGTTTTTCTGTTGATGTCATGACGGTGCTGCGTTATTTGCTTTGTCATGCGTGTAATATATATGTTACGTCAACTGTACCTGCTTTCGAGTCATTTTGTTAGTTTCTTTTGCATGATCTTTTCAGGAACCGTGTCGGGAATTTATTTCAGTGGAGCGCCTCGGGAATACGAAGGGCAGATCGGGGGTTGCTAGCTCACCTTTTTCCGAACAGGAGTTTACGGGTGGGCCTGCGGCATGAGTGAACCCGCATAACAGGTAGACCCGTATCAGGTCGGGTGCTGCTGTTTGCGAACCCTTCACATGTAGTACGACCTGTTTGCACACTGGCTTCGTATGTTCATAACATCATATAACCCAAGCGAGTCAACCTGTATGAAAACTATATGGGTTTTTTGATTTCTTGAGCAGGGCAACACGGTTCATTGTAAAGTATTCAGTAATCCTGTTCGGATTATGGTTTGCACCGGCCGAACGGTTTGAACACGTTTATTTTACGGTATACAGTAATCCAGTCCAGATTATGGTATGCACCGGCCAGATGGTTTGGACACGGTTCATTTTACGCTATTGAGTAATCCAGTTCAGATTACGGTATGCATTGGCTACGCTTTTTTGGTCACGGTATGCATATTTTACGGTAAGATTCCCGGCTCGATAATCCAGTTTGAATGTTACGATGTTAAATTTCATACCGTATTTTCGGTAGGGTGTCCTGACAAAATTTTATTCTTTGCGCCCTAGATTGGTCAAATGTATTCCACACCAGGAAGTGGGCGTTTGTGTGAGCGGCGCTGAATAGGATCTTTGTATTTACGCTCTAAACAACGTTACGAGCTGAACATTCAATACTTTTGAAATTAACTCAGCATTTCTGTTCGACCTAATATCAGGTCGATTATGCGAGGCAAAATTTAGAATATTTCCCGACCTGCAGCCACGAGCGGCGGTCATGAGAAGAACCCGGCGTGACGTGAATGGGGGACTTGTAAAAAGAAAGGAAATTGTGCAAATACCGGCTCAATCAAAGTTAATTTTTCTATAAATCTTGTCGTTCCAACATAAATATAAATGCGTCGAAAACCTGGTATCTACAACAAAACTTCTATAAGAACAAGTTTTAGTGGCATCATCTACCCGAGGTCAACAATACCGTCAGCTCTAACTGTTACAGCGAACAGCCGCCAGAAGCCGGAGGGGACGGGTGTAGAGAAGGACGGGGATGGCCGGACCCGTACGAGACTTTCCTCTTTTCACAATGTTGATCGCGCTGCCCAAGAACGTGGTCACGTGGTCGCGAGCGGGTAAGTTCCCACTGCACTCTGATGGCTCTAGAGAGAGAGCTTCACCGGAACCTCGCGTGTCCCTTCGGCACATGACAGTGCACGTGACTCGGAAGACGGTGAAATCGTCGAGAGGTGCCAAAAACTCTAGTCTTGTCAATTTTTAACATAAAAACTAGGATATGCAGACAAAAGCGTTTTTTTTTTTCTTTTTTACGTCCGAGAGGTTGAGACACCAACTGTGAAATTATAAAGCAAAGCACTGAAATTGTTGCACAAATCCTTTAAGGAGAATGTGATCACTGCCCAAATGGCCAGTCTTTTAAACTCAAGGAACTTCATATCCTAGAGGATGAAGATAATGAGCTCACAACGTGGGAGTCCTGCGACTTTGTGAAAAGATATTGGATCCTGAGAATTTCCTAAAAGTCGTTCAAGTAACGGTAAAAGTTGGATATTTCACAACCATATCTGACAAACACGAAGTAAAGCTATCTACGATGAAAAGCAATGATTGCAACACGAAAGCTGCCTTTCAATTTGACTTTGCTGAAAACAACCATCATGCTTCCCGATGGAGTTCAGTTCAAGCATACCACACACAATAAAGTTACGATATTTACACGTGTAGAGACGACAAGAAAATCTACTAACATCTTCGATATCATCCGTTAGGACCTGTGTGACGATGCCGCGCACACGTGCTTGGCTCTAGAAAAAGCGAGAGTGGGTCGAAGACAACGTTGCCGTTTATACGCACATGACGTACGTAGGAGACGGAGCCGCCAGTCATCTCAAGAATCCCTACCAGCTTGACCAATTTGCATAGAAAGATTGTCAATAAGCCCAGTAGTTATTTTCAGCATCGGCACGCGAAAAACTGCATGCGACGAGGTGGGCGGACTTGTGGAGCACCAGGCCACGTTGAACAACCTGAGAGAACGTTCAACAAACGAAATTCAGATGGCCACGACGATGGTGAGCGTTCTATTCAAGAAACCAAAAGGCGTGCATCTTGTGTATCTGGATGAAAATGAGGTCGTTCGGTATCGCCCACAACAAAAAAAAAGTGGTTGACGGTGCAGGTCTTTCTTGTCATTCAGTCTTGGCACGCGTGGCGTATGTGCAATGCATCAACCTTAGGAACCTGTGACATATATGTAGCACGGAGAGTCGGATCTGTCTAGAAGAAACTTTATGAGATGGGTACAGCGATGAAAGCCTTAGCGTAAATTGCCGAATTCGATTCCCCAAGTACTGTTCATTTTTAATGCAGTGACATCTTATTTATCAGTCTTCTTCGCGGGGTATATAACCTACAGCTTTACTCGGCGATTGCTTATAATCCTTATCTTATCACCATACCAAAATCACGAAACGTTATCGTCACGCAGGGCGAAATATCTCGGCTTTGCCACGATCCACTAGAGGCGCGCTGGCATCATTAACCTGAAATTCTTTGTACCCGGAAATACATAGCCAACCTGAACAATTTTATAATATTATCTTTATCTTTCTGTGTGAAGTAAAGTTATTTCTTTTATTCGAAATGTAAATATACTGTGAAATAAAACTTCCCACTGCATCAACTTTTCGCGAATCACTAGTCTCTAACATGATACACCTTTGTACGTTGTATGTAAAATGCTGTATATAGTTTCTCCTCACTTTTACTGTTTCACCGATTGTTCTAGTTGGCAATGACCTCATCTGAATACAAATATATAAAAGATTTGTGTAAGTTTTATGAAACTGGAACTCAGAGCCATTTCTCATATAGTGCACTGCTAAGTCTAAGCTTTGAAAGCAGACCCTAGCTCAGTGAGTTGTGTCGTTGTTCCTATTTAAACAATGCAACATGTTTTAATAAAAATGTTTGCCTAAATAATGTATGACAGGGTATCCAACTAAAAAAATCTAAGGTTTTTTTGCATTAAATATTTTTTGTTTGACTTTCCCTCATGTTTCCCTAAGTGCATCACAACTACAGTATCGCTGTTTAATCTGAAATATATATTAAATATTAGCCATCCATAAGTAGAATAGTGTTTGAAAAGTTAATGATAGTGTTTAAATTATTTCTTGAGATAAAGGCCTCAAAATTTGCTATTTGTCGTTAGAGCACGCAGGTTTGGAAATGTTTAAAAAGCAAAATATATTGTAAATAAATATTATTATTATATATAACAAGCAAGCTGTACCGATAGTTTCTTTCTAAGAAGTATTATAGTGTTGCTAATTTTATAGTTTTATTATTCACTTTCAAACGTGCCCCCGCCATCAGTGCGTATTATTGCAGCTGTCCACCTTTTCGTGCCTGACGACTTTTCATATTCCCAACTTTTTTTGTTAGGACTGTATGTGTATTGTTTCATACCGGACACTAGACAATAACTTTTAAAAATATCAGTTGATCTAAGAATGTCGAGCAGCCACCCTTTGGTCGATCTTTTTTGAAATCACACTGTCGAAGTAAAAACAAATGCGGCTTACCTCTGTCCGTCTTCTCTGCAAATGGAGCGGAAGTAGGCTGAGCTTGCTTTGTTTTGCAGGCAAAATAATTGGCACAGCATCTTGCTTCATTTCTGGCATGCATTTAATGCCCATCATCTTTATAAGCCATACCTTGTCGTCTTTCGCGTCATTCGTAAATGCACTGAACAAGGCACACTCCACTTGCTTTGCTATAAATTGTCTTTCTGCGCGTCGGAGACGTATAACTTCGCGATCCTTGGGTCGGCAGAAAAAGCATGGACATAAAACGGGCCTCCTCTCCAGGAAGAGTTGTAACTCTTTCCGGATAGGCAAGTGACAACACGAATGCACTTTTTTTTCAAGTAGAGGCATGCTTCACTTCGAACAAGGTTGCAATAACTGGCTGGAAAATGTGTCTGTGCAGTTAAAGTATAATCAATTGCTTCTTAACGCTATAATCCAAACTAGGTTTTAATGAAATAATAAATCCTCCTTTTACAACTTTAATACGCAGCGACGGTGAGAAACAGCCGACATTTGAAGGAAAGTTTGGCTCTCCAAATGCAACGATATGCAGGTGGCGATCGACGGAAGATGTGGTGGAATGCATCCGGAACCGCCAACATCCGGGAGAAAAGACCGGCTTTGCAAACATAGCAGTTTGCGTGTCTTTGCGGGGTTGACATTTTTATCCTTCGTTTAGTTGAAATTTCTGCGCTAAAGGCTACCGTATTTCATCGAGAATTGTCGTAGCGACATCAGCGATTTCGGTATCATTTTTACCTGACTTAACATGCTTAGCGTACCTTCCCTTACAGACATACCATGGATGAACCCTAATTAAAAAACCCACATATGGATATATAGGAATTGGGCAGATAAGGCTAGATTCACATTACAGGTAAATATATGGCCATTTTGTGTATTTTTAGCCATATCTGCTTAATTTGTTTATATACTCATTTTTAAGCTACTTTATATAAAACCATATCTGCATTTGATTTGAAGAATAAGTATTTAACTACCTCAAATATAGCAGTCTTATAGATGTGATGTTTAGAGGCCGGATGTTTAGGCACTAAAAAGCCAGTTTTAGGCGCCTATCAAATGAACTAAAAACTTCGTCACGCATTTATAGGCACAATCAGTTTTTCTTCACAAAGTGCTTTTGAAAGCATGGAGGGCCTCCGAAAATTCAGAGAAATACAAAATAAAGTGGTGCA